GCAGCAGTAGTAGTAGTAGTAGTAGTAGTCGTCGTAGTCGTAGTCGTAGTCGTAGCCGCAGTAGTAGTAGTACTAGTAGTAGGAGTATTAGTAGTAACAGTAGCAGTAGCAGTCGTAGTAGTAGTAGTCGTAGTAGCAGTAGTAGTAGTAGTAGTAGTAGTAGTAGTAGTAATAGTAGTAGTAGTAGTAGTAGTTGTGGTAGTAGTAGTAGTAGTAGTAGTCGTAGTAGTAGTAGTAGTAGTAGTCGTAGTAGTAGTAGTAGTAGTAGTAGTAGTAGTAGTAGTGGTGGTGGTAGTAGTAGTAGTAGTGGTAGTAGTAGTAATAGTCGTAGTAGTAGTAGTAGTAGTAGTAGTAGTAGTAGTATGTTCGTAGTAGTACTGCGTGTCTTCCGTAGAACTAGCAGTAATGAGGTAGTGACGTAGCCGCAGTAGTGCTCAAGTTCTGATTGCAGCAGTAAGTGTAACGCCGCACGTAAGTAGCATAGTAGTTTTGTTGTGTTTTAATTTTTGTAGGGGGAACTCCGTCGTCGCAATAGCAGTAGTAGTAGTAGTAGTAGTAGTAGTAGTAGTAGTAGTAGTAGTAGTAGGAGTAGTAGTAGTAGTAGTCGTCGTGGTAGTAGTATTCCCCATATCCTAAGGATAGTAGTAGTCGTCGTGGTAGTAGTATTCCCCATATCCTAAGGATTGGGGTTCTTGTTATTACTCTGACGCCTCCCACTGCTCCTCCTTCCTCCTTCCTCCCGCTCGCGCCTCCCTCCTCCCAATGACAATATAAGATACTACAAGATAAGATAAGATAAGATAGCACAATATATGATAAGGTAAGATAAGATATATGACAAGGTAGGATAATATATAAGATAAGACAGCCTATGGAGTAATAAGATAAGACAAGATATGATGCGATAATATGAGTTGATATAAGATAAGCTAATACAAGATAAGGGATTTCAAGATAAGATAAGATAGAGGGTAATAAAGGTAAGATAAGATAAGACTCGATAAGATAAGATGAGACTCGCTCTCACTCAGACTCACTCACAGTCACATTCACTCACACTCACACTCTCTCATGATCACCAAACGCTGCCAGGGGCATCATTTGGGAGCCCCAAGGGGGAGCCACCCTGGCTGATCTCACGAGCCCGTTCGCGCCGATTTTGGTGGGACGTCTCAGCTAAAATTGCCGTTTGGCCTCCCCAGCATGTCTCTCTTGAGAGCCTCATGGTCACAAAACGCTGCCAGGGGCATCATTTGGGAGCCCCAAGGGGGAGCCACCCTGGCTGATATCACGAGCCCGTTCGCGCCGATTTTGGTGGGACGTCTCAGCTAAATTGCCGCTTGGCCTCCCCAACATGTCTCTCTTGAGAGCCTCATGGTCACAAAACGCTGCCAGGGGCATCATTTGGGAGCC